GACCCTTCCTCCTTTCTGCCCGTCCACCCCCTTCCTTAATCATCAAGCCCTTCGGACGTCGGATTCTGGTCAGCATCACACTGTCTTAAGGACAAAGCCTCAGGTGTGCTGGCCACACAGAGTTTCGGTCAGGCTACAGGTGACATCTGGACCTCAGTTGTGTCCGTCCCAGGCCCATGAGAGCAGAAAGACCCTAGGGACCACCCCCTCACGAAACCAGACTGCACAACGCCATGGCTGACCTCAGGACCTGCTGCAGTGGTCAACTGCCCTGGCCCCACCCATCAGTAGAGCCCACGACCCCACCTCCTTCAGCCACCGCGATGAGTGACTTCCCTTCTATACAGCCCTCCTCTGGACGCCGTCGGGGAGCCAGGCCTCTGAGCACTAGCTCACCTGTGACTCTGGGTGGGCACCATCTCCTCAACAATAAACCCTTATTTCTTGGCTGCAAACTCCTGTTTCCATTTGACTGGACTTTGATGTGTGCAGGGAATGAACCCCTTTAGTCCTGTAACATAACCCAGGTCCCAACATCTGACAAAAATCTTGACATGCCTTCACACACGCAAGACCAATAAACATCGCTTACGATAGATGCACAAATTCTAAGTAAAATGCTAGCCAAAGGCGATGGAGCAGGAGTCAACAGTGGTGCAAAGTGTCCCAAGCCAAAGTCTCCTATGCACCCTCCCATGTACGGTGCACCCTTCCGTGTACAGTGCACCCTTCCATGTACAGTGTGCACTTCCATGTAGAGTGTGCCCTTCCATGTACGGTGCACCCTTCCGTGTACAGTGCACCTTTCCGTGTACAGTGCACCTTTCTGTGTACAGTGCAACCTCCTGTGTACGGTGCGCCCTTCCGTGTACAGTGCACCTTTCCGTATACGGTGCACCTTTCCGGTCTCCTATGCACCCTCCCATGTACGGTGCACCCTTCCACGTACAGTGTGCACTTCCATGTAGAGTGTGCCCTTCCATGTACGGTGCACCCTTCCGTGTACGGTGCACTCTCCCATGTACAGTGCAACCTCCCGTGTACGGTGCGCCCTTCCGTGCACGGTGCACTCTCCCATGTACAGTGCACCCTTCCACCCCTCTGAGGCTGAAGTCCTAGGGTGGACGGGGGGGCTCACCTTGATCCAGGGGGATAATGGGGATGCAGAGCTCCTTGACTGGGGTGAGCACTGGCTTCTTGACCCCCTCCCTGCACCTGTCCACGGGGCAGGGGGAAGAAGGTGGAAACATACGTGAAGATCTACTGCAAATAAAAAGGCATGCCATCTCCTGAAGTGTTCTGAGTCTTCCCTAGCAGTTCTTCCCAGATTCATTTCCACGTGCCCCAGATCTGATGGCGCCCTCTGAGGCTGAAGTCCTAGGGTGGACGGGGGGGTGCTCACCTTGATCCAGGGGGAAAATGGGGATGCAGAGCTCCTTGACTGGGGTGAACACTGGCTTCTTGACCCCCTCCCTACGCCTGTCCACGGGGGCAAGGGGAAGAAGGCGGAAACATACGTGAAGATCTACTGCAAATAAAAAGGCATGCCATCTCCTGAAGTGTTCTGAGTCTTCCCTAGCAGTTCTTCCCAGATTCATTTCCACGTGCCCCAGATCTGATGGATTCTAAAGGGTGTCCCAAAATTCACGCAAGAAGTAATTTTGATAGAAAACACAGGTTTATAATTAAAAATTATAAATTTTTTATTGATTCATAAAGTATACAGTATAGGGTTATGTATGGAATAGCATAT